GACGAGCTTCGGCAGGCGGAGATGTTTCTCGAAGTTTCTCGGTCGCGGCCCACTTACGCGGGGCAAAATATCCCGCGGACCAAATAATATTTTATTCTCTATCCCTCGCACTTTTTCTCTCCCATTTTTCCCCCTCCAGAAATAACGGGGATAACCAATAGATTTATGCGAAATGCGCGCGGCACTAATTGTTGGCGAAAAATATGTTCACGAACACGTGGCCGGATCACGCGTTGTTTGCACGTTCGATTAACTTTTTTCCCAAAAGATGGAAGGATATGTCTTCAACACGTCGAGAGACATACTTTTTTCCAGATTATATTTTAATCAGCATAATATACATTCTTCATCGAGGTGAAAAATAGAATTTCTTTTGTTTCTTTATTGCTCATTTCACTTGAATCATTCTATTCAGCTTTTCTTCTGTTCTCTCGTCGTTGAATTGGAGATGTTTATGCAAAATTTGTATAAACAAGAGCGAAGGAGAAGAAAGGTTAAGTAGATTTCGCTTCATCCTTCACGATCCTTTTTCGCACGCAACACTAAAACAAATCCGATTTTCTCCCTTAAAAACTTAAAGCTTATTGTTATTATTTTTGCAAATATTAGAAGATATTACTCTCGAGTTGTTGAAATCATTGAATCAACATTCAAAATTAACGCTTGATATTTCCATTCGAATAAAAACATCACACAATTTGTATCTTCGTTTAAAAAAAAAAAAAAAAGAATATAGCTCGAAAATATGTTATGCCCAGTTACGATTTTTACCACCTTTCCCCGTTGTTTCGACTCGTCGAAGCGAAAAATTTATTCCATCAAACGACCAGACGCGTCACACAATCACCGTGTCCAAAACGCAAACAAAGAAGGGGACACAAAAGAAGAGGAAATATTCTCTTTGCAAGAAGAAAACCCTCGCTTTCGAAACCTTCCTCGTCCATTTGCATCGAGCCGTGGTGAATCAAGATAATCAAGAAATTTAATCAACCCCTCCACTCTCTTTCTCTCCCAACATCCTCCTCCTCCCCTCTCTCTTCCAACGATCTTCTCTGGCGCAATGCGTAATATAGGGCCTCGTTTCTTGAGAAAAGACGTGTCTGAAGAAAATTAAGATTTAACCCGTCGATTAGGCGTGTCGACGAGAAGATTCTCCCTCTTCCTCTTCCTCCTCCTCCTACTCTTCGATCCTCTGGGGCTAGTATTCACGGGAATAGAACAGTTCGTCCTTTGGATAGGTTCCAAATAGTAGTTTAAAATCTCTTTCTCCAATATTTTTCAATATTTGCAACAAATTGTTTCTCGTTAATTGAAATTTCTTTTGATTCTTTTTCTTCCTTTAAATTTTAAGATTCCTGATAGGTGTTAAATAATTGTTTAAAAATCTTTTTTAATATTTGTAACAATTAATTGAAATTTCGTGATTATTTTTCCCATGAAATTTTTTAAGATCCCTGAGAAATAGATAGGCTTACAGAATAGTTACGGTTTTTTTGAAAAAAAAAAAAAATTGAGTCGAGTGATATTTTAACGTTTTGAGAGGCGCTACAAGTAGTTTACACCAATAAATTCCGAGCCAACTCTTTCTTTCCGAATTTTCTACGTATGTATATTACACGGATTCACGGAATACTGAGCGATAAATTTTCACAAAATAGAAAAAGAAGTCGATTATCCTTCAATTACATTAAAAACTGTATATTGTATACATAAATATTAAATTATGAATTCAGAAACAACCAAAATACGAATATATATATATGGCTTGGAAATATAGATAATGATCCACCACGCCATTCTAATTCATCTTGACGACGTTCTTGATAGAATACGATGATGAATTGGAGGAAAAAGCAGAGGAATGGGAAGAGGGAACGAGCGCTAATTATAAAAGGGTCAAGTATTTTTCTTTTACTAAGCTGTTCACCCAGAGTTATACGCGGGTTTACGGGTTCCGTGGACCCGTAATGGTTCTTGAAACACGCTTTGTTAAACGAAGAATCACCGGGCGGGGATTTGAACGTCGACTAAATTTTACGATGATCTCGTGACGACGAATATTCACCATTACTTTTTTTTTTTGAATAAAAATCTCGTCGTCACTTCCTTCTTAATTATTCACCTAACTTTCCTTCTTCACCTTAAAAGATGTACACACTTTCCCCCCTTCTTTTAATTCTTTCTCTGAAACGAATCCTTCGAGCAATTGTAATATGTAATTTTCAACTATTTCCATGATTTATTCTCTTATATATCCAATAATATACGCCTGTTAACAAAAGAGCATCGATTCGATTAAAAAATTAAGAAGATCGTCAAATGAAGCGTCAAATCAATCCGTAGATATGCGTGATTCTCGACGAAACCTGTTACTCGAATCCTCCCTCCCTCCCTCCCCTCCCTCTTCACGATTCCTCGACGAGCAGCGTGTCTGTGCTGCGAGTGAACACCGACAACGATGCTCGAAAAATCTTCACGAGGAGGGTGGTGGTGAGACCATGCAGCAAACAGCTCGGAACAAAGGGAAGGGAAGAGAAAAAGGAGAGAGAGAGAGAGAGAGAGAGGA